CTGGTTTAACATAAAGGACACTCACAAAACAAAGCCCATGTGGTTTATGAGCAGTTCTGATAGGCATACACAAGGAACTTAATACAAAAGCTGTTCCTTTATTCATGGATTTGTGAACACATACTATGAGTTTTTGATAAATAATTTTTCTGTGGATTGTTTATCATAGCAGTTGGTAGCTTTCTGTGTTGTTTTGTTGCTTATTTCCAGCGAGAATATGATAAAAATTGTTATGCATTATCCTGGACTTCTCTTTGAAATAAGGAGCACACACAAAGCCATACCAAAGTTAGTTTATTGACATTCCTTGAAGGTGGTATGAGAAAAGTGAAAGCTTGGCCTTAGTATCATGTGATATTTCTCTTGTCCATGTAAGCAAAATCAGCCTAATATTGTGAACTTTTCCTGCTATTGACTAGAACACAGACTTTAAACAAAATTGTTATAGATATTTCCTTCAATAAATTGATGCTGCAGGAAGCAGGCTAATGGGATGATATTTATATACTAACTCTAGATATCTTTTTTTTTCTATTGGAATGACTAGACTATATGTCACTAACAGGAAAATAACACTTTCTCTTTTGACCTTATGATGGCTGGAACTTCCATCCTAGATTTTTATGATATAGAATTGCAGCAGTACTTTTAATGAACATTGAAGTACATAATAATAATAATAATAATAATAATAATAATAGTAATAATAATAACACACCATATTTTTTTATGTAAAATTCTAACTACTTTCATTTGAAAGTGCTTCATCTTGACTGGGAAAATATTTGTGGCAATTGAGAAATTTTTTGAACCCAAATTTTGGACACATCGACTGACAATGCCATAGACGTAACATTTTAACAGTCCTGGAAATTCCAGCAAATTGGCTTGAACAAAAATATACTTACTGTTGAAGGACATATGGTCATATTTTAAAAGAGAAAATATTTAGATTTTGCATGTTTAAAGCTTGCCAAAAAACATATCTCTTTCTTAATTTTTTCATCGTCATTCATATACTATGGTTGCAGCACAATCGATGGTTAAAAATTTTCACAACCACTGTCAACTTATATACAGAAGAAGATACAAAAAACTCAGTAGATTTAGAATACTTCTCCTGAATCTACAGAGCCAATTTGTATTTTTTAAGATTATCATCTTTATACGATAGAATAAAATGTGATATTAATGAAATTATTATTTTAATACTTTATAGCATTTCAAAAGCATTTTTCAAATTGTAATGTAAGTTTTCTCTTATTTATTGTTTTTGTTTGTCCCTCAATTAAGGGTAATACACTTTTACTAAAACTAGCTCTAAAAGATCTTGTTTTAGAGGAATTGTTCATAAGTGCTTAATTTTATAATATTCTTCTATGGAGAAAATTCATACTTAAAATTAAAAAGAATACAAGTGGTAACAAATAGATCTCTGCCCTGCCCATTGAATTATATATGGGTGGTTTATATCTCCCCAAATTAACAGCATAATTTAGTTCTATAGCTTTTTAATTGTATATATATATCATATATAGAATATATATAATAAAAAATTATACATAATTATAAAATCAGCTTCATATATGAGAGAATATTAACTAAAGAAATATCTTTTGGGACATAGAAAAATAAAAAGGATCTTTCTATAAGAACTGTTTGTACTCCTCTTCTCTTTGTTTTCCTTCCTTAAGAATTCTTTGGAAAGCTGTAATGGTCTGGGATCCTGTTAAGCAAGCTTTGCATTCTTTCAGCTGACTCTGACACCAGAGTTTTATTGGAATTTTACGCTTTTATGAAATGCTGTTTCTATAATGCTTGGTGGGATACATCCAGACTCATGGCATCAGGGGTGGGGGCAGGTTAAAAAAAAAGTTAGTTGAAAAACTATTTAGGACTCGGTTATCCATCCTAAAATTTCTAGGATACTTTGTTCCTTCTGTATATGGGTAGAATAGATATTAATTAATCTAATTAATAGATTAATTAGATATTTGTATAAATTGTAGACCTCCCCAGGAGCAGGATCCATCTTTTGAATAACTTTCTCCCTTGCCAATGCCTAACAAATAATGTAAGTTCTAAAAAAAGAATTGAATGCTTGAATTAATGAGTATTTATATATATATATATGGCATCAAATTCTAAAAGTGAAAGACGCCCTCTATACTAGAATGTCCAGCACAAAAATATACATATACTTACTGTTAAAGGACATACAGTCATGTATGAAAAGAATTTCAGCGGTCATTTTATATTGTCATGTGCTCAAAGAATTAGAATGGTGAAATAATTTGCATAATCTTTATGTTCTTATTTTATAAATAAATAATAACAGCTCCATTGGAATTCATAATTTTTCAGATATTAAAATACATACTGAATTTTACACATCCCCCAACTTCTATATTATGTAACTTTATGTAACATTCCATCTTATCTTGGTAAATATTCTTTATAGACCACAATTGAAGGATAAATTTCTATAACATTTATATTCCCTAATTGACAATAAATATACAACAGCGAGGGGTGCTGGCATTGCAAATAATTCTTACTAAAAGAATGTTTCATTTTGTTGTTGGAGGGGTTTCTTTAAGAAGAAAAATCATGTATCAAAAACATGAATAAAGAATGGTAACAGCTACATATGTATCAACAAGTACTTCAAAGGGAAAATTATTAAGCGCTCCAACCAAAAGATAGGGTGGATGATGGATAAGAAAATAGGACTCCTACATATGCTACTTATGGAAGACTCACTTCAGAGTTAAAGACACACACGGACTAAAGGAAGGGGATGGAAAAAGATATTGCTTTGATAGACCTGGAGGGTATTGCGCTGAATGAAGTAAGTCAGATAAAGGCAAAAATCACATATTTTATGTACATGTGGAATCTAAGGAACAAAATAAATGAAACAACAAAAATAGAAACAAACTCAGAGATCCAGAGACTATTTTGAGGCCTCTAGATAGGAAGGTGGTTTGCGGGGGTGGCAGTGGTGGGGACAGTGAAAAAGGGCAAAGAGATTAAGAATTGCAAATGGATAGTTACAAAATAGTCATGGAGATATAAAGTAGCATAATGAAAATTGTCAACAATATTGTAAAAAATATGTAAGAATGTAGAGGGGTACTAAATTTAGTGGGGTAACTGCTTTGTGAATTACATAGATCTCTAATCACTATGTTGTACAACTGAAACTAATATATTATTGTATACCAACTATAATTGAAAAAAAACTCATTGAATGTAAATATGAGCAACTAATTGTCCATTATACTTCAATAAAGCTGGGGGAAAAAAAGAAAACCAAAAAAGAAAGGAATATTTTATTTTGGAGTGCAGGAAATATAATTAATGCACTGTCCAGACACAAGGCATAGCTTTGTATGTAATTAACTTTGTCTTACATTTCTCACATTTCTCTCTTGTTTACTATATTAAAACAACATTGTGACATTTCAACAGTAGGGTCTTATTAGCTCTTCTTTTCCCAGTGAAGAAAAACACTTTCATTTATGATATGATTTTAGACAACATGGATGATAAGATTAGAAAAATAGAAAATGACAATTATGCTTGGGTTTATTCCAAATGTAATCGAGAGCTTAGAATGTCTTTGGAACCTGCAACTATTTTTCTGAAAATCCTGTTTTCTGGGATATCCTTTTACTGAATGCTAAAATAAACTGGATGCCTATTTTAACACAAATCAACATGCCTTTAGGGTGTTAGGTCTCTGCTGTGGGAAGATTGCTGTGGATGAAGGAGAAATTCTATATTGTCCTTGAAACCTAACAAGCACCATCAGTATCTGCAGTTTTTTATTTAGGGTGGTCCCTGTGGACAATCAGATGTAAAGGAATCTGAATACCTTTTTTTTTTTTTAAATTAAAAAAAGAGAAAAAAAACCATCATGAAAAAACTAATATCAAAGTTAAAATAAAAATTTGTTTGTCAAGCAAATAATTACCTGGCTTTAACAGAGGTCATGAGAGTATCTATATATTTTTTTTTCCCTTTGCGTAGCACTGTAGCTAGGTTAAACAAAGCAAAACAGAACAAAACAGTAAAGAACTCAGGTATTCAAACCAATCTAATATGTCCTCCTTCCCTTTTTTTCTGTTTGCTTTATCACATTCTGTACAACACGATGTGGGTAAAAGCCTTGTCATTTATACTACATAATGACATATCCTTCTTGGACGTGTGCACAAGTTTGTGCTTCTAGTGTGGTGAGTGTTCACAAGCGGGGTGCTCCTACAAGACTTCTCTAAACTCGAGTTGAGTCACAATCCCCACAACCATTGGGGTACACTGCATTGCATCAGCAGAAGATGTTTAACTTGCTGTTATTATTTGCTGGAAAGTGTAATATTGGCACCATATGTATAGGCTAGTTCCAGCTGATGAGACTGATGCCACACATGAATCATGAGTTTAATGTATAAAAGTTTTGTGTGTTCCATTGCTGTTTTTTCATGAATAATATACACAGGGAAAGTAGAGTGGGACGAAAAGAAAGAGTTGATCAACTCCTAGTTCTGGAGTTGGTTGTTAGAAATTATAAAAAATGGTGGCTCTGCTTAAAAGACATTGGCATATAAAAGCTGGGAATGCTTAATACTCAAATTTTCCCTTAAATTATATAAATGGAAGTAAACATTTATTATCATTTGGTCAACTTGCATTCACATTTCATTGTTAGTAATGGAGGTATGTGGAGATATATATAGACCTCAAGACAGCTGTTTTTTTAAATATTGCATACAGGCTAGCAGTTCATTGAAAATAGAGGAGATAAACCTGAAGGTTAAAACTTAGAAGAAGGCAGTTCTTCATGCACAGCTTTTGTCAATCCTGATTTGGTTTGAAAAAAAAAATCACGGAATACCAAAATCAAAGGAAAGTTGATTGAGGGAAATGGAAAGGGGGGTTATCCCAGAAAGGATTATGCCACTGTCCAGGAAAATGTTAGGTGAGTTTCCATTTCATTATTCAAGTCCGAAAGTGCTGGTTTCTTCTACTGCTGTTAACAGCTTTTCATACAACATGGAGTATGAGGGATAAGGTGGAAGATCCAGTCGATTGAAACATGTGTGTGCCCTGAATAGCAGAGAAAAGATTGGTGAAGCTGTTTGTTTCAATGATATAACTAGTTTAGATATATCTATGATCAGTCTGAAGTTATTAATCAAAAGTGAATCAAAAGTGAGCAGAACCACAGTTTAGGACTATCATAGCACATTATAAACTAATAACCATAGCCTTATAGACATGAATAAACCAATTGACAGAGTGAAATAACTAGAAAATAACTAGAAATAACTAGAAAAAGCAAACTACACTACCCTAAAACTACACTAGCAAACCAATGATTAAACTATGATATCAGGTTTATTTTGCAAGTGAGATGTGATCTTAGATATAGTTAGTGAATGAGGCAGAAATATAATTAATATTATAGGATCATATTCCCAAATCTCCTTTCCCAGCTCTAATTTCTAGGTCTTAATAAATTGTCTTAAAGGTGCCAATGGATATCCTGGAATTCTGAGGTACAGTGCTCTATCAAGTCAGGCGTGCCCTGGAGGCAGTCTAGCTACTCTACAGTTTCCAGGGGGACAGACCTAACTTGAAGCAATTATGCTGCATTTCCAAGAGCAGCTGAGCCTGTGGGCTAGTTCTTCCTGAGTTCTAGAGCATCCCTGTGCCATATGGCCTTGTTTCTGCTTGATTTGTCGTGTGCTTTATCCTACAGGCTCACATATGCCAGTGTCTGGCCTAGACAAGGAATGGATTCCCCTGACATGGACCAGGACCAGACCTCATATCACCTGTGCAGTGCTCAGAGGCCCAGGACACACAGAATCCTCCTGCAGAACTTCAAATCTGACTGACTAGGCTGTTTCCTGTCAGAGGTTCTTTGTATTTTTGTTTTGTTTTGTTTTGTTTTTAGAATCCTTGGTTGATACCACATCCTGTACCAAAGTAGGGAGAAAGGTCGATGGGTGCAGCTGAAGGTTCATTTAATGCCTTTTTCTCCCTAGAAGAGTTGGTGGGTTGAAATGGTGTTTTGAGAAGCTAACTAGCACCAAAAAAGGCCACTATAAGATAAAATAAAACAAAATAATAACATGATAATAAAATTATTTTTTTAATTACAAAACAAATTTACATATAAACAAAATCCTAACCAAAAAATAACATTCCCTCCTCATTAGAATTTTACTTGGGATATTAAACTCTTCTTTAAAATTATAAGATCTCCGAGGAAGTTGTATATGATTTATAACTTTGTTTTCAGAGTCCCATACTTCCTCCTCCTGTTAACAGCTCTCTCATTGGAACACTTTGGAACACTTTCCCCAAACCCCCACTTCCACCCCAAGCCCCAAGAGTAGGCACAGGATAGTAGAGTATATGGCCTTGGGCTCTGAGGGTTTAACTGGAAAGAAACATAAAAGTAGGCAGATTAGCAGAGGTCTCAGATTACCATCTAAAAATTCAAATAACTCTATGCTGACTTCAAAAGAAAATAATTGAAATATTTTGCTTAAGTTTATTTGTTTGAGTAAAAGTGGAAGAGTACTCAGTAATTGAGTAGGATGACAGCTAGAGTGGTACTTCTCTGTTTAGAAATATTGAAACTAGGATGTACTCTGGGCTATAGCTAATCAAGTTAAGTGAGGCAGAAACATCCCCAGTGTGTTTTTGGAACTGGCTTAATTAGCTAGGAGCAAAATATGAGCAGAAATTATCTTCTTGGTTTTCTTCCTCTGGTCATTTTAACTGGTACTCATGAGTGGAAATATTATAGGGGGAAAAAATCTCACATTTACAAAATATATTAATTCTGTAAAAGATAATTTCTGGGGATAAATTGAAAGTAATAGCAAATGGCATCTCTTCAAGACCTAGTCTGAACACCTACAGTTTCTTCAAGAGTTGCTTTTATTGCATTTATCTACAGCCTTAGTTAATTCCCTTAAATAAATTCCAATTTGTAATCTAGAATGAATAAACACAATCAAATCACAATCTATTAAGCAACCCTAAAGACTTACTGTCCTCCAGGTATGGTTCTGACAACATAGAGCATCTGCTTACCTCATTCCTGTGCACTGAACCCAGTGCTTTCAGGTAGGGGGTGGGTAGTGGAGAAAACACGGAACTAGGGGTAGAAAACCTCCATTCTGATCACAGTCTAGCCACTTACTAGCTTTATAACCTTAGGAACATCAATTAATCTTTCTGAGTCTCAGTTTTCTCACTTATAAAATGGAAGTAATAATACATGCTCTGAGACCCTCAGTAGGTTGTTGCAAGGAGCATTTATAATAGAATACACACAATGTTTTCTGTAAACTGTAATTAATCACTTAAACATAAGATTCTCTCAATAATGTAACCATATTGCAATCATGATTTTAGAAACTGTATCATACTTGTAGAGACTTAAGACCCTCAGTCTTTTTCACATGACTGCTGGCAAATCAATCACCCTGATCTCCAATTTTTGCAATTGATATTTTGGAACTCCATGTGGGATTTTTTTTTCTTTTTTCAATCATGCCAGGTCAAATTTCAGTCCATTGGTGTTAATCTGAGGTTCCAGCATTTTGAGATAATTTTAAATTTGAATTGTGCCAATCACTGTATTAATCATCCTTCTGATTTGTGTCTTCTTCACAGTTGATTTCCCCGTCTATTTGATTGTTTCCAAGTAATTGATTAAAATATTAACAAATACAGTGCCAAAGATAGTCTTGTTCCTCTCCAGTAGAGACTACTTTAGGGTTGGTTAAAAAGCAAACAACAAAAGGAGGCAAAAATTATTACTGTCTGTTGCTGTCTGTTCAGCCATTTGGGAGTCCAGTTATGCCAGTTGGGTCTTCTTTCATGTCTTTTTCCACTGCCCAACTACAGCCTCATTCTTCAGATTGGTTCTCACTCTCATTACTGCTCATTCTACTCTTTCAAGCTTTTAAATAACCTCTTGATTCCTAAATACAGAGGCTCATTTTCTACTCCCACCTCAGGCTTTTTAAAAGCATTTAACTGCTCTTCCTTTGAACATCTCTCTCCCTTTGGCTTCTCTACAGCTTCTCAATGGCTGCCATTTTTTTCCCAAACTCCCAGCAGCTCCCTCATGTCTCTTTTGTAGCCTTGCAGCCTAAAGAGCAGTATTTCTTACCTCAGCACTATTGACATTTTTGGACTTGATAATTCTTTGTTGTTAGGAGCTGTCTTGTGCATAGTAGGGGTTTAGCAGCATCCTTGGTCTGTTCCCAGTAGATGCCAGTAGCACCTCTCCAGCAAAACAAAAATGTCTGCCAAATATTTCCTCAGGGGCAAAATCACCTCTCCCTTGATGCCTCTTGAGAACCACCATTATAGATTAAGCTGACTATCTCTGCCCTGGCTAGGTTACATTTATGAGGAAGCATGTTTGTGTTAGAATTCTGTTTACAACTTTTAGGCCAGTTAACTGGCTCATAACTCATAGGTCTGTTATCCCTGGTCCCTACACCAAATGTTCCTAAGGAATCCTAAGCTTTTCTCCTGTCCTTTATTTTGTCTCCACACTGTCTTGGGCTGTGTCTACTCTGACTAGCTTCTGTGCTTTACTTCCCTCCATCCCCTCTCCAAACCTTTTTTCATAATAAGGAGACTCTTCCTCCTTCTAGAACTCTGTCTGGACATGGCCCCCAAGTCCTAGTGTCCCTTCTTAGTTCTCATGAATGAAAATGGCCATTGCTCACCCTGACACATTCTGTGATATAGATGAGCACTCTTCTCACTCTTTGTTGCCAATTCTAGATCATTACTTTTTAATCTTTGATCAAAAATTTCATTTCTGTTCCCTTGAATCTCATACCATTTATATCATTTCCCACCAAACTACAGTTTTTGTCTGGCATTTCATTTTAATGAAATTAGGTAGAATAGAAAATAGTGTGTATCATGGGCAGATAGTCAGGATAAAGTATTGTTTTGAGAGAATTTGTGTTTCAGATACATACACATACACACACATACATACATACATACATGCATACATACACACACACAAATTCATATGCATATTCTAGGTTGTGATGTAAATGGTATTTCTTTCTGTGGGCTATAGTTTAAAAAGTCTGAAAATCAGTGATCTAGACACACACCTTCTATACCTTCTGACCTTCTGGATGATTACATTTATTAAAATCTCTGGCTTAAAGACTTTCCGTTTCAGGCCCTTTCATCAGACTATGTAGCATCTGAGTCTACAGGGATGACCTGTTTATTTTTCCAGACTACCACTTGCTCAACCACAACCCCAGTGACCTTCTCACCTCTCTTATATTTCAGCTATGGAGATTTAAGAAGTTTCTTCACCAGGCACTATAAAATTATGTCCTAGAATCCCCTACTATCAAAGTCCTTTTTTCTATCCCTCACCCAGTTTTTAGAAGACAAGGACTTGAACTGACATGAAGATTTTAACTAGCCTGGGCTATGACCCAAGTTTTGCTTTGACACTATTTGGCAGCTGCAGAGCACCTCTCTTTTAAGTGTGGGCAGTGCATATTGAGGCTCACAGTCTCTTGGAAGCCCTGGATCACACTGTGTCTGTTTGGTGCTTCTGCCAGCTTCTAAGCCCTTCTCTGCCCCAACTCACTGCAGATGCAGCTTCCACCAACTTCAGTACTTCCTACCACCTGCCATGTGGCTTGGCCAGGTATTCCCAAACTACTTTCTTGGAAGTCAGGTTATTTCTTTCTCCTCAAACATAGGTGACACTTATTCAGTTCTTGAATCTTCAGAAAATGTACAAGGGAGACCAGTCAGGGGCTACTATTCAGAGGGTCAATTTCACTATTTTCTTAGAGAGCCATATCAGCACTTGCTTTTTGGGGTTCTCCCAGCCCGGGACAAAGACCCTATTTCCCCTAGGAACCCTCTCTGGGGGTGCAGAGCAGCAACCTTTTTACAGATGCTTTGGCCCAGATATAAAGAACCTGTTCATAAGCCCAATATCTATCTTGTAAACTCTCTGTGTGGGTTCATAATATTAATGTATACTTAAAAGCTTCCCAAAGTAAATACATTATTAGGCTCAATCTGTGACCCCAAATGACATCTATTTCCTAAAGTATAAAATAGAAACTCCTCAGCAGGGTCTTTTCTTCGTGGCCCACTAAACTATCTCTCTCAACTACAGTGCTGCTTTGGACATCTTATCCTCTGTACTGACTTGGTGGTCTTTCCCGAACACATCCTGGCCTTGTTGTATCTCAGCCCCTCCTAGGTATGCACACTGTGGGAGTAATCTATCAACAAATGGTGACTCAAACTCATTTCTCTAAAATAAGAGCAGAATGTTCCCAAAGTACCTCATCCTCCAAATTTATCATTAAACTAGACAAATGGAAATCTTGCCTTTTAAGCCTTATTTTTTTTTAATGCCAGACTTAATTCAGTAGTTTCATCCGTTAGAATAACCAAGCAAATAAGCCCTAAGGGTCTGCTAAACTAAGTGGGTAAAGCAAGGGCTGAAAATTATGTGACAGCTTTAAGCTATTATTAACCAGCTAAGCATGCACTCTGTTTTCTGGGCCTCCTAATGCCACAGACATCAAGGGAATTGTCTTCAGAACATTTTGGGAATGTCAAGTCTGAGAAAGCTATGAAAATTGTAGTTCAGTAAATCCTTCCACAATAGGGACTTAGCCAAGGTATCTGGGGAGGCCATGCAGAAATAGAGTTGAATTTAATGTGAATCTTCTTTTATGATTAGAAAATATCATAGTAGAAGAAAATCATGTGAATCAATCTTTTCTTCTGTCTGTTGAGCATTATTTATTTGGATAGTACCTATACATAAGTATCTCTTTAGTGCTCCTTATTTCACTGATCAGGAATATGCTACCCAAAGTGTCATAGAAAGGATCCAGGAACTATTGGGATTAAAACTCATGTTAAAAGAAATTCATTCTGTTAAATTACCCGGATCACTAAAACCTCCTTTTCTGCATTTATCTCACAATAATTTCCTCAATAGCTTACTATATAGGAGTCACTGTAGAGACCTGAGATATATTTGGTCTTATCCCCACATGTTTTAAAGCATAGAAGCATAGTAGGAACAATGTAACATGTACATGAATAACTATCCTATGGAGGAGTATCAAGTGATATGCTGTAGAAATACAGATACAGAGCCGTTAAGTGTTTGGGCTTCCAGCCTCTTCTCACCTCCTCCCACCCCGATATCCACCCTGAAAATCAGGTGAGACATTCCTCTTTAAATTAAATTGAGCTACACACAGATTGGAAAGCTTCTCATAACTGACACATGTACCATGATACTACAGACCAAATACATTCGATCATCAAAAAATTTCTAGGAATATGGTCTAAATTTATCTCCCAGAGGCTCACTTGCACCTTTCACTAATAACTCATATAACAAGCTCAAATAACAAAGTTCACTTTGCCCTCTTCGACAGGTTTCCTGAAGATTGAGAAGAGCTTCATACCTGGGGAGAGAAGTAATTTTCCCCCATTTCTCTATGCAGAAACGCCGAAGCCCATTGCTTCCTCGAAGGGCTGCGAAGCCTTCGTAGGGCACACTTGATGTACCTGTGACGAATTGAAGTAATCTTAATCTCTGCTCGTTATTGAAGCGCTCTACTGCAGCCCAAAACCAGCGGATCACAAGATGACCATCATGATAACCTGAATGGAGTAAAAGGACATAGAAAGAGAGGATGTGGAGAAAGGAGGAAGGAGGAGAAGAGGAAGAGAGATGAAATACATATCAAGTATGATAGGAACTGAACAGCTGCTTTTGATTTGCTGATTTCTCTAATGATGGCCTTTAGGTAGATCTAAAATAATTTGTGTAACTGTGTCAATTTTAAAAGAAAAGCAGATTTAGAAAATAGCCATTTTATAAAAAGATTACATATTCTGAGGGATGTCCTCAGAGATGTTTGTTCTCTAAATAACTGGCACTCCTCCAGTCATTTCCTGCCTCATATAAATGTAGACAAGGAATGGCTAGGCTTGGTAGAGATCTTTGGAATCCTTAAGAAACAAAACTTTCTATGAATACAGTATTTCATCGTATTTTTTTTTTCTGATATCTTAGCTCTTGGTCACTATATACTGTGGAAGAGCCTAAGACTTAAGAAAGGCTGAAGGTAAAGGGCAGCCTTGGTGAATGGAAGATATTGAGCTTTCCAGCACCTATTGGTGTGCCTGAAGCAGCTGCTCTCGGGCCAGCCATCAACTGAGACAAATTGGGCCCATGGGAGAAATGTTGGGCACCTCTTGGGATACAGTTGGAAGAAAGCTTGGGTCAGTTAAGGTGAATGCTTTACTGCTGACTGCAAATGCAAGAGTCATTCAAAGGTGGGAGATATCAATGTGGGCTTGGGTAGATACAGTGAAGTCTTCATAAAAAATTAAGGTGTGAATTTAGCATGGAAAGAGTTTATATGAGTGGAGGAGAAGAGGAAAATACTTCTTGCAGGGGAAATAAAAAATAACAAGAATAAAGAAGAAATATGCAAAGGACAGTAAGCTGACTAGCAGAGAAAGAGATCTGGTGAGGACTGAAAGAAAATTTGATGGGGGCCTTAGAAGGCCTTAACAGCCAGGCAGAGACATTTTGACTTGATACCTCAGGTCAGTGGTTTTTCTACCAGATCAAGAAGAGCCTAGCAGTTGCACAAAAGCTTCTCGTGGTTGAGTGTATTGGGAGTGATGAGAGGCTTAAATCATGGGTCTCTTGCTCGCTCTCTATTTTACAGATTGGGGTTTCTCTATAATATTTTACACGAGGAAAGGGCTTTGAGGCAATAAACAAAAAACAAAAAACAAAAAAACAAACCTGCCAAAGATGTCTTCTATAGATAATAAGTAGCTTGTTTTGTGGGGAGGGAAGTGGCCTGATGAAAATAATGTTTTAGAAGACTGGTTTGGCAGTGTGAAGGTAATAGGAGGGGTTAGAAAATGGTTTTGGAAAAATAACAGAATTGGGTTACAGCAAACAAGGACTGAGGTGAAGAGAGCTCCAATTCTATAGGAAGCGGGACACAATTTTCTGCCAGCTGGCAACCTATTTCAGGAACTGGCCCATGGGCAGCGATGTTCCCTGTTGCATCTACACCAACTTAGGCTAGAGACTACTATCAGGGATTATTGTCAACTGAATGAAGGTTTAAATTGGAAGTTGGAGGAAGGTATACACAAGAACCTACTTTACACATATGTTGAAGTAAGGGCAAGTTTTTGCAGTCTTCAAAAAGTGATAAAATGTGTGTACAAATGTTATTTTATATTCATATTATAAATATATATGAATACATATATATAAAATGAAATATTATTCAGCCATAAATAAATGAAGTAATGAAATATACTACAACATAGATAAACCTTGAAACACTATGCTAAGTGAAAAAAAAACAGACACAAAAGACCATATATTGTATGACTCTATTTACATGAAATATCCTGAATAGGTAAATCCATCGAGACAGAATACACATTGATGGTCACTGGGGTGGAGGGGAGGAAAGAATGGGGAACAACTGCATAATGAGTACAGGGTTTTCTTTTGGGATGATAAAAATGTTTTAGAACTAGCTAGAAGTAATTGTTGCTTAACATTGTCACTGTACTAATGCCACTGCATTGCTCACTTTAAAATGGTGAATTTTATGTCAATTTTACCTCAATAATAAATTTTTAAAAAGTGATGAACTTAATCTGTGATAGTTGTATCATCACAAGCTCTGCCAGCTCACCTCCCCGGTACTCAGTGTTATTCCGCCAGTCGTTTAGGTCAATTTCTGCTGTGCCAGCTATCACCAGCTCCAGTTCCCTGGCATCGAACACGGAGACAAGCCTAGAGTCTACCACCTGAAACACAGATTAGGCTTCCGCAAACAGTTCAACCACATCAAAAGTTATATTCATTGTTATTTCTATGGCTTCAGTTGAAAAACTGATCATCATTTATTACTTTTTTTTTTTCCCAATGTGCTATCATTGCTCATTGCATTTTGAAATGCAAGCCATTTATGAGCAGGGAACTCAAAAAAGTGATTTCACTACTTCTGATACACATCTCAGATAGATGCTATGAAAAAACCTGATTTGACTATTTCTAGTCACATTTAAATTTCCAAGTAACATTGCATTTTATTTTATTTATTTTATTTTTATTTTTTTTTTTACTTTATAAATTAAATGTATTGGGGTGACATTGTTTAATAAAATTATATAGGTTTCAAGTATACACTTCAGTAATATACTATATGTATACACTAATGTGTGTTCACCACTCAAAGTTAAATTTCCTTTCATCACCTTACATCACCTTTACCCTTATATATGTGACCCCGCTCCCCCTTTCCCTATGGTAACCACTAAACTGTTGTCTCAGTCTATGAGTTTCTGTTTATCTTGTTTGTCATTTTCAGCTTTATATCCTACAAATGTTAAAAACAAAAAGTCCAAATCACTTTGAAGTGACTAAATAGCTATTAGTATTACCATTTCATTTAAAAGTTATACTCTCTCCCACATCAAACTGACATTTAATAGGAATGGGAATTATATATTAAAATGATTGTATTTTTTTTTCTTTTTCTCCTAACTTCCTTTCTCCCTTCTTCAAAAATCTGGGAGGACCTGTTTTGTTAGGGTTTTGATCCCTGGCTTTCCATCTTATTGCCAAATGTATCAGGCACAATTGAACATCTGTAGCGGGCACCTCGTTTAATCAAACCAGTGGTGGATGAGCTAGTGACCCATGTGATTCACCATTATGGCAGGGAGAAAATGATCCAAGCCCTAAGGAAACACTTACAGACTCTTGTTTCTAAACTGGAAACATTTAAGGATGCCAATTTTTGGTGTACAGGAAGGCTAGCAGCTATCATTGTCTTTTTGATTTACCACCTCAGCATGGATTATGTGGCACATAATATAAAAAAATAAAAATCTTGCAAGAGTAAACGATGTCTTCTAATGCCTTCAATTTCTTTATGTTTGTTTCATTGAATGAAAGGAAATGCAACATGAACATACCTTGACAGGAGATGCTGTATATTGTCACATCTGGCACACAAGGGCCACATCAATACCAGTTTTGTGAGAGGACTTTTCACCTACCACAAAAGTTGGGTTTCCTAGAGAACTTTGATCCCTCATTCATCTACCTCACGAAGATCCTCTTTGCACTCTGATGAGTAGAGATGAGCTCTTTGCCTGCTCTGGTTCTTTCTCTCCCTTTTTCTCACAAGCTGTGTCTGGTGATGAAGGCTCTGGCATACATCATGCTTTCCTCAGCTGGGACTGAGGCTCACCTCATAGAAGCCCCGCACAAGGGCCTCCGTCTGCTGCACCACACCACGTTCTACTCGCCACTTTACCATCCTCTCGATGTACTCCTTCTTGTTCTTCTCCGTCACCTGGGTGTTGGCTCCTCCAGATTTTAACTCCCTTTCCGTTACCTTGTAAAACGAAAGATTGTGAAGCTTGTCAACTGAGATTATCTCAGTGAAACATATCAAGTAAAGGAATATGATCTATATGCAAAAATTCTCTTCACATAGGTTTAGCATTATTACCTCCATAGTTCTTTTCCTATCCTAGAAGTTACTAAAATGACTCTGGTTGTTCTAAGTGGATATTAAGTACATGAGAAAAGCTGCCTTTTTTAAAATAAAGAATAACTGTTGTTTTTTTTTTTAAACATTTTATTTATTTTTTCCCACCCTCCCTTACCCCCACCCTCTGATAACCACTAGTCTGTTGTCCATGTCCATGAGTCTCTGTTTGTTTGTTCTGTTCATTTGTTGCTTTTAAGTTTATACCCCACATATAAATGATATCATGTGATTTTCAAACTTTTCTGTCTGGCTTATTTCTCTTAGTATGATTATTTCAAGGTCCACCCATGTTGTTGCAAATGGCAGTATTTCATCTCTTTTTATGT